CGCACGTTTCAGACTAGAGAATTCAAGTCAATGTGGATATTTGTTAGTCTTTATGACTTGAATTAGAAAGTCAATATCGATTATGCTAGGAAACGAGTATACTAAAGGCAACCATAATATATATGACTCGTAGTCCTAGTAGAAATATGTTATGGTGGGTCTAGCTTAGTACTAAAGGTGATGCACATCAATTTTATTTCGGATTCTCAAGTGAAATAAGGGTTATTTTTAGGTAGAGTTGCGTGTTTCTGGCGTCATTGTAAGTTTGAACATTCGTAAGAGACAGATTGCCCATGCATGGGTGTGCGTATGGGGCGGGCAAAAGGTGCCCTATCCTGCATCGACATTTAACGGTATTTTATAGAGAGTGAGAGACAACAAAATATGTTAGAAATACATTATTTTATGAAATGAATGATAAATAAAATAGGCAAACAATAAAGATAAAGCTTGATTTAATTTCTTCATTTGGGGACAGGAGGAAATATATCGTGTGGGTGGGGGTGGGGGATGGCCTGCAGAATTAGTTAGTAAAACATAAATGATGGAATTGAAGGCGTACGTAGTATTTATTGTTATTGTATTCATGGAGCTGAGTAGGTAGCTAGTTATATATACTCTCTCATCTTAAAAATTAAAAAAAAGAGGTTTTATAGAAAATTTTGATTTATTTATAATCTTTTTATTCTATATCACATTATCACTTTCAACTACTCCCTCCGTCCCCCTGTATTTGTCCACATTTGACTTTTGGAACTGTTCATCTAAGCACTTTGACTCATCAAATTTTCTCAATGTGTAAGCCTAAATATAGTCATGTGTGATCTTGTTTGATTTGTCTTAACATATAGATTATTAATATATAATTTTTATAATTTTTTAATATACAAATTACAAGATAAAATGGATTAAAGAAGTGCATTGGATGGTGTGTAAAAATAAAAGTGGACAAATACAGGGGGACGGAGGAAGTATATCTTTTATTTTACTTTCTTTAAATTTTGTGGCTAAGTTAAATTGAGAGCCTTTTATTAAGACAGAAGGAGTATATTATTATAGGTAGCTTGACTGCTTGAGTTGAGTGAAGAGACAAATTAAGGAGGGTAAAGATGCATCATGTATGTATTTATGTATTATGTCTCGGACCTAGCCTCCCCCACATGTAAAGAGCCATGGGGACGATATGATAATCCATGGATGATATGATATGATGCAGGTATGTATAGCTAGCATCCCATCCACCAATCCATCCATATATATATATATATATATATATATATATATATATATATATATATATATATATATATATATGACGGACACCTTGACAAACGAGGTGGGCTAAAACTGGCTCTGATACCATGATAAAATTTAGGATGGGGTAAGGATAACTGGATTGGGCAATAAGACACTTGGGCTGAACCACATTAAAAGATTGAATCCAATCGATTAGTTAGTTAAACTCAAGAGATTATATACCGATAACTTTTCTATTTATCTTTCTGATGTGGGATAGACTCTAACAAGAAGAGAGAAAGAAAGAGGAGAGAGAGAGAGAAAGATTGTGAGCCATTCGAAGATTTCTATGAAAAGAAAAATGATATTTTTTTAATACGCCCTAAAAAGAAAATAAGAAGTTTGTTTATAGAGGAGAATGTAAATTAAATTTAGGTACGTACGTACATAGTATCATGTCGTCGTGCATGCCCTTTTAATTTACGTACGTACCTAAATCTGACCTAACAAATAAACGCAAGTGCATGATGATAAGATGGCATATATATAGACATCATATGCTCCCGCGTGATGCTGCATGGCATGGCGTGGTACGTACCTACGTGAAACGTACCATTTAAATCACAATCATAATACATACATATCCGTAGCTAGCTACTACATACGCCATAAACATATACTCCCTCCGTTCAAAAAAGATACAATTTCAAAACGGTTCCGGTATATTTCGGAACGGGTCAACGGGAACGGTTTTCATGCCCACCCCTACACACACATGTAGATGATGAAATCATAAATTTATTTTCAGTGACCATTCAACCGAATCTGAAGAAGCCCTCAAGAATGGGACTCATCCTTTTTTTCGTTTCCACTGCCTCTGTACGTACATATAGATCCACCATTTGTGTCCATTAATATAGCTCATTTCTGTCCATTATATTATATGTCGGTAGTTTTATTTTTATACATAGATACATGTATATATGTGGAGGGGTGACCTTAAGGGCGCCGAAGATGCACTAGGGTCTCAATATTTAAGGGATCGATCACGAAAATGTGGACATTCCCGTGACATTAGCCTCCCATATAATGTCATTCTATGACATAGGTTCCCTTTGGGTATCACAGTCTTTCGTTCAAAAGAATGATGATTCTTACCCTCCTAATAATTACTGGTAAACCTTCCCACCCAACCCGATCCAATTTAAAACCATCCACACCCCCCTTCAATTGCACCACAGTTGATGTCTAACGAGAATATAATAAGAAAACAAAGGAAAGAAAAATTAAGTTTGGTCCGTAGATAATGAAATATGGCGACTAATTTCTTAGTTCCTTGGAATACTACTAGGGCTGTTAAAAATTTTGTTGCAAATGAATTTATCAAGGAATCAATTCAACTGGAATTTAATTTTTAAGATTATTGTTGGCCTAGATCAGAGAGGGTTTTTATACTCTAACACATGGCCGTCCTTGAGGAATTCGTGGTCCGACACGACATGGAGAAAATTGGTCATTGAGTTATAATGAAATAAAGTCTATCAATTAGTTTTTTTTAACATTTATTAATATTATACTAATAAGAATTTAAATAAAAATAAATTTATCATATATGTTCTTCGTATATTTAAAATTCAAATTTGGGGCCTCAAAAAAATGTCACCGGAAGGTGAGACCACCCTGCCCATTCTCATCGATCGATCGAGCTGCCCCTGCTCTAGCATATACTACTTATGTTAAGAAACTAACTCAACTAAATTATCAAACTTAATTATTGTGCAATAAAAATTTTATATACCCTAGCAGAATTGTTATTTGACAACTAAAAAAAATCCGAGTAGATTAATTTAGAATAGTTCCAAGAATGCATGTGGCACACGGACTCCATCTTTGGGGGTGATTAATTATATATTGCTTTCGAGATTGTCTATTTCGTGATATGATCGGCAACTTTGGTGACTCCCATTTGGATTTTACCGTGTTTTGATAACTACTTTAGCGTCTTCACCTTTTTTCTTTTTGTTTTTGTGAGATGAGCAAGATATGGATGTTATGAGAACGAGGTTCACAGTCAGGAATTCATGTACTCGGAGCCGCAATGGTAATCCATTCCCAAAACTAACGACTCTTACATACAACTCCTAACCATCCCGACCCAAACACACCCCCACCATCTTCAATTGCACTCCCAAGTTAATGTGATTTTAGAGTCAAAGCTACGATACCCCGTTCATAAAATCAACCACTCCAACCCCCTTAACCACTCCGGTACGGTAAACTCTCCCCACCCCACCCCAACCCGAACTAACTCGCCACTCCTTCAATTGCACCCCCAAGTTTAATCTAACTTCTCGTTTTGATGGAGACTAATTTAAGTTTTAAGAAAGTATAAAAATGATATGGGTTGAGATGCCGAGTTTCCCAAAATATCGTTTTGACTTCAATTCTTCATATTGTACAATCAGAAAATACACGAGAATTATTTTCTCCCAGGATATTATTTTTCCTGTAGAATATAAGGGAGATTTTAATTGAAAATTGAAGTATTTTTGTGAAACGGATAAAAAGTGAAAGTAGAAATATAATTTTTAGGAACGTATGGAGTACCATTCCGTTTAATTGCAAAACTCTTTATAAAATACTCATATGTATATGCGCGATGATGAGTCCGGTGATGGGTCATGGGCGACGAAAAATCCACCCGCATCTAACCCGGCCAGTAATCCAACTCATACATTATCATTTATGAAAGTTCCACTTTCCTCAGCGTATGACCTGTAGTAACCTAGGACAGAACAAGTTGCCACAGAGGTTGCTGAAGCACTTTCTAATATTAGTCTGTAAAACAAAGTGCTTCACCAACTGCTGAATAAACAAACTGAAAACGAAAAGCAAACAGCACACAACACACGAAATTGTTTACGCAGTTCGGAGCAATTTCTCCTACGTCTGCGAGGCCCACGTCAGTGTAACAACCTTCCCACTAAATCAAATCAGAGTTTACACCCTCAATGACAACAGACTCGATCTGTGCATTGATCTAAACTCAACAACTTAATGGGATGCAATAAACTCGGTTTATGCAGAGATACCAAGACTGATACACTTGAACAACTTATCTGAGACGTGTTCCTGGCCTACGCTCCAGCTCTTCTCAGTTCAACTGTCTGGAACACACGTTAATCTCTATGCAGAATATTATTCTGCATACCAGCCATCTGTGTTCTTCGATCTGCTTGGCTGATGAATTATTCAGGATTCTCTCTTAATATATCCTCTCTCTTGCTCTCTTAATTCACACCAAAACCAGGCAGTTCTCCCTTCTATTTATATTCGCAAGGTGAGATCAACCCTAGAAGAATCCTGATATATCTCTACCTCCAATTTTGTGCTTATCGGGTAGAGTCCTTGTTATGATTTCCTTCTGATACTGTACTTATCTTCTTCAGTTTCGTGAGCTCCAGTAGCCTTTTGTTGATAGAGTTCTTCTTCAGCTTGGTGAGCCGCAGTCTGTCTTTAATTGAAGAAGTCCAGAAGTTCAAGGACTGTGTGTGTGACGGACAGGATGCTACAGCTCTATAAAACACATAGCTAGAACAAACTGAGTACTAAAACGACTATACTGGTTTTTGTCAAAAATAAAGCCAACACCTATGACAAAGAGGCTAAGACACACCCAAGGAACCAACAATCTCCCCCTTTGGCAATTTTTGACAAAAACCACTACTCAGCCGTGTTGAACCTCTTCTCCCCCTTTTTTGCACAAAAAATGCCAAGTTTTATTTAAAAATTGGGGCAAAGATTTGAAGAGTAACATTCAACCGATCAAGAGTAGGTACACTATGACATAGAATACCTAAAGAGTGTAACACAGAGCTGTACCTACATCCGTCACAAGACCCTCGTGCATAATATAAACTTGAGAATGAAGTGCATAAGAGCAAGCATAGATCATACTGAGCAATAGAACATGTCACAAGAACCATAAAGCAAATCCAACAGCATCAAACCTAAACAAACCAGTGAAATCCACAAGCAAGTCACAAGTGAGCAAAACACATACTCCTGATAGTCCAGAGGCAAACACAACCTCAAAAACAACAAGTGCCATCAAAAAAACAGAGTTTTGTGAGTACATAATCCGATCAAGCTGAGTTCCCTTCCTCACTCTCCCCTTCAGTGTGACTCTCCTGTTCATCAGAATGAGTGCTCTCAACAATCTCCTCTGCTGAGTCCGTGTGCTCCTCATCTGGATACGCCTCCCTAGCCTGGCACAGCAACACCACCAACTGACCCTTCTCAAGCTCCAGTTTCTCTTTCAGCTGTGAGGTTCTGGCTAGCTCCTCCTTAACCTGCATCACTTTCTGCTCCAAGAATCTCACCAAAGAGGGTGTCTCCTTGTGTTTTGCAGTTGTTGAAGCAGCAACCTCCATGTCATTGTAGTGTTTTCCCTCCATGTGTCTGCTGTCCACTTGGAGTGGTGGCTCTTCTAGTTCTTCCTCCTCATCTTCTTCTTTGCTGAACCCTTGTGAGACTAGTAGACTGTAGAGAAGTGTTGGATAGGGAAGCCCAATGGAGTTGACCTTGTATTTCTCAGCTGCAAAGAGCATTATCTGATCAAAGATTAGTTGTCCTAGGTCAAAAGGAATGTTGTGCTTAATCTTGTAGAGAAGTCTGGCCATAATCTTGGAAACAGTGTTGGTGTGTGTAGTAGGAAGCCAGTGAAGTGCTGCAACCCTTAATAAAATAGCATAGGAACTTTTGAGGATTGAGGAGGAAATTTTTGCTTTGCTTGACTGGGAGGCTCTTTGACCATTTGTGAGGTCTAACCACATGTTCTTTTCAGAGATGTTGGTATCCTTTTTGCTAGGGGTAAGGTCAAGAGCAGTATTGATAAGAGCAGGGGAGAGTTTATAGGTCCTTCCACGCAAGAACACCTTATGAAACATGGGGTCAGCAGAATCAGCACCAGATTCAGACAGGTTGCAGTAGAACTCACAGATAACAGATTTCACAAATGACCCTTGAAGAGTGACAGATTTCATCAGTTTGGATTTTTCAAGGAGAGGAATCAGATTGGTCTTGAGTTTAAAATCCTCCACATCAATTCTTCTTTGAACAATAATAGATTTCTTGTGCACACTACTGAAAAGAGATTTAGCTTTTGAGGAAACAAAGCGAGAGTGAGGAGACTTTCCTGTTTTTACAACTGGTGTGACATCTACTGCAGAGCTCATAGGGGTAGATGAATTTGACTGCTTCTTCTGGGGTGGTGCTTCTGAAATTGGATCTTCCTCCAGCTTCAAGTTTCTTTTAGATCTTCGCTGAGGAATTGTACTGGGAGTCACTTTCTTTTTGCTCTTCTTCTCTGCAGATTCTTCCTGAAATGGGACTTCTGAGACTGCAACAAGTGGTTCTTCATCTAGGATCTGGATAAACTCTTCGTCTGCTTGAACTTGAGCATCTGGTGGTGACTGGGTTGTCGTGTTGAAGGGTGGTGCTGAATCTGACTTTGGCACCGCAACTGTCTCTACTTCTTCCTCAGATTTGTGAAATTCTATGAGCAGCACCTGGGGCAGATCTAGAGTTGGGAGATGTGCTACATCGTCTTCTTGCTGTTGCATGTGGGTGTCATGTACTGAAGTCCCCTGATTTACCACTGGTTCCTCTTCCTCCTTTGTTTCTTGAAGTTTCTGGCGAACTTGGCAATATTTTTTGAACCAGGAGGGCTGTGGTTTGGATGCCCTAGGATGATTGAATTTCCGTGGTATGACAGTCTTGCTTCTCACCATAGTTGCTCTGTGAAATCTTGCAGTGAGCTAGGGTTTCTGGGTGAGAACGGAGAAGATGAATAGGAAGCAACTATGACTCTAGCCAAGGAAATTTGATTTTCTCCGGGATGTAACTCAATATGCTGTGCCCTTTCGTTTCTTGAGGGTGATACGGCGTCAAGTGGTTCGTGGAGAAGCGCGCTTTCATAATGTTGCAGGTGATGAAAAGATGTGCCTCACGCTACATTATTATTTTTATTATTATCTTGGCAAAAAAATAATAATCCAGCATATGACATGGCGTGTACACTCTAAGCTGGTCTTTAAGTGTCCACGTGTACCAATAAGATTAGAAAGGAGCACATAGGCCCAGATCTGATCTGAGCTTCTCAAATCTATTCCCGTCCAGTGCCTTAGTAAAGATGTCTGCAAGTTGTTCCTCCGTTGGAATATGTTCCAAAACCACTGTCTTATTTTCTACCAGTTCACGTATGAAGTGATGTTTTATATCGATGTGCTTGGTACGTGAATGTAAGACATGATTTTTTGAAATACTGATTGCACTTGTATTGTCGCAGTAAAGGGGTATTGTGCCATGACTAATACCATAATCTGCTAGCATTGACTTCATCCACAATAATTGCGCGCAACAGCTCCCAGCTGCTATGTATTCTGCTTCAGCAGTTGACAGAGACACTGAGTTTTGTTTCTTGCTCATCCATGCTACTAGATTTCCTCCAAGAAGAAACCATCCTCCTGAAGTACTTTTTCTGTCATCTATGTTTCCTGCCCAGTCAGCATCACTGTAGCCTGTGAGGTTTGCTGTACCACCTTTGACGTACCACAACCCCAGATTTTGCGTCCCTTTGATGTACTTCAGAATTCTTTTTACTGCCTTTAGATGTGATTCTTTTGGATTTGCCTGATATCTTGCACAGGCTCCTACACTGTAGCATATATCTGGCCTGCTGGCTGTTAGGTACAGTAGACTTCCTATCATCCCTCTGTATTTGGTAGGATCCACATCTTTTCCTTCGTCATCTCTGCAAAGCTTTTCATGTGTTGGACAGGGTGTTCTAGCACTTTTACAGTCACTCATGTCGAACTTCTTCAGCATGTTTGGAGCATACTTTGTTTGAGAAACAAATATTCCTTCAACAGTTTGTTTGATTTGTAGTCCTAGGAAGAAGGTTAGCTCTCCTATCATACTCATTTCGAATTTTGTCTCCATGACTTTGACAAACTGGTTGACCTGTGTTGTTGAAGTTGATCCAAACACAATATCATCAACATATATTTGAGCTATCAGGATGTCTGAGTCATACCTTTTGTAGAACATAGTGTTGTATGCACCACCTCTGTTGTAACCTTCTCTTAGCAGATATGATGTGAGTCTCTCATACCATGCCCGAGGTGCTTGTTTTAGCCCATAGAGTGCCTTCCTTAGTTTGTATACATGTTCAGGATGTTTTTGATCAACAAAACCCTTGGGTTGAGCCACATACACTTCTTCTTTTAGGTACCCATTTAAGAAGGCTGTGTTTACGTCCATCTGGTATAGTTTCATATTGAGTATGCATGCTAGGCTGATGAGCATTCTGATGGACTCCAGTCGTGCTACTGGTGCAAATGTTTCTTTAAAATCTATTCCTTCTACTTGGGTGTAACCCTGTGCCACCAGTCTTGCCTTATTTCTTATGACATTTCCTTCTTCATCAGTTTTGTTCCTGTAGATCCACTTAGTACCTATTACATTCACCCTGTCTGGTTTTGGTACTAGTTCCCAAACTCTATTCCTCTCAAACTGTTCTAGCTCCTCATGCATTGCATTTATCCACGCTTCATCAGTTAGCGCCTCCTTTATGTTTCTGGGTTCTGAAGTTGATGTGTAGTATGCCTTTGTCATCTCAAGAAAATTTATGGTCTTTTTCCTGGTCTTCATTCCTTCTGTTGGTGATCCGATGACATTTTTCAGAGGATGATTCTTTTGAATATGTGTGGGAACTGTAGCTGTCTCTGGTACTTGCTCCTCATTTTCAGTTGCATGTGTTTCTTCTGGCTGAGCTTCTTGATCTGATTCAACAGGTGTTATATCAGTTGTTGGAGCCTCTTCTGAATCATCCTGGTTCTTTCTCTCCATCCAATCATCAACAACCACATTTGTAGATTCCATGACTGTCCTGGTTCGTTTGTTGTAGACTCGGTAAGCTTTACGTTTGGAGAGTATCCAACAAAAATAGCTTCATCACTTTTGGGATCAAACTTTCCTTTTTGCTCTCGATCTCTTAGAACACAGCACCGTGCTCCAAAAATATGGAAATGAGCAATGCTTGGTGTTCTTCCCTTCCACAGTTCATAGGGAGTTGACTTTGTCCCACTTCTCATGTACACTCTGTTGATAGTGTAACATGCTGTGTGAACAGCTTCTGCCCACAGTTGCTTAGGCAGATCAAAAGTATTGATCATTGTTCGTGCCATCTCCTGAACATGCCTGTTTTTCCTTTCAGCTACTCCGTTTTGCTGTGGTGTCTTCGGTGCAGAGAAGTCATGCCATATCCCATGTTGATCACAATAATCTTCAAAAGGCTTGTTTTCAAACTCACCTCCATGGTCACTCCGTATTCGAATAACTCCTTTTATCTTCAACTGTTTTTCATTCTGTACTTTGTTGCAAAGAGCTGCAAAGGCATCTAGTGCATCATCCTTGTGCTTCAAGAAACTCACCCAGGTGTATCTTGTGAAGTCATCCACCACCATAAGTACAAATCTCTTTCCTCCTATGCTTTCAGTCTTCATGGGACCGAATAGATCAAGATGAAGTAATTCCAGTGGTTGCTGAGTTGTTCTGAAGGTCTTCGTTGGATGACTTGAGTGAATCTGTTTACCAAGCTGGCATGGCTTGCACACCTCATCTTTAATCTTTGTGATTTTTGGTAAACCTCTCACAGCTCCTGAGTTAGACAGAGTTGCCAAGTCTTTGTAGTTGATGTGCCCTAGTCTATAATGCCACAATCTGGCATCTTTCTCATTAGCTGTGTAGCACAAGATGTTGGGGCTCACTCTATAACAGTTGTCTGTTGTTCTGTTGCCTTCTAGCACAACCAACTTGTTTTTGTCCTTTACTCTACATTTTTGTTGAGTAAAAGTCACCTCTAAACCTTGATCACATATCTGACTTATGCTTAAGAGATTTACTTGTAATCCCTTAACTAGCCATACATTCTTGATAGGTGGCAATCCAGTGACATTTTATGTTCCACATCCAATGATATGTCCATGTGCCCCTCCTCCAAATCTGACACTGCCTCCCTCTATTTCCTGCAGTCACTTCGTTTGATGAAGAGATCTAATGGTGTTTTGGTTGATTCTTCTTTTGGATAACCCAGCCCAGTTCTGTCTCCATACATCTTGGAGATGTCCACTTGATGTTCAATGGCTTTTGCCTCTGTGCTCAGCATCCATTCTTGTGAACTTCCTGCTCCTGCTTTGTTTATCCACTTCTGGTACTTCATATGATGATCAAGTTCATGTCTCAGATTGGCATTTTCAGTTTCCTTTTGGCTCAGCTCATGTTGCAGCTTCTCAACAGTTTGCTCGCAAATCTGCAGTTTAGTTTTTAATAGAAGATTTTCAGACACATTCTTCTTATTAATATCAAGCAGATCACTCCATTTTTCTTGGAGTATCTTTAGCTGCTCTTCAGAGTCTTCTTGTACTTTCAATGTGACAAAGGCGCAGTTACTTTCTCCATCAGTGTCTTCAGTGTCTGGTTCTTCATCACTCCAAGTTGAGGCAAATGCCTGCCTTTTCTTTTTCATGTTGTTTGCACATTCTGTTTGAATGTGACCGAACCCACCACACTCAAAGCACTGTGGCCCTTTTCTCCTTGGTTCTGAAGATTGTGCCTTGAATTCCTTTTCTTTCATCATTTTGATTTGAGAACTTCTCTGAGGACCTTGTGTAAGTGCCTGTTTACCTTTTTTCTGAAGCCACCTTTTTGTAAACTGTTTGGTAAACAGTGAGAGTTGCTCCTGAAAGTCATCATCTGATATGACATCATCTTCTGAATCTAAATCACCCACCTGAAATGCTATTTGTTTCTCTGTCTTCTTCTTCTTTTGTTCTTCTGACATGGCCAATTCAATAGTTTCAAGATTTCCCATTAGTTGATCCAGCGTCATCCTCTTCAGATCATGTGCTTGACGTATGGCCTTGGCATCAACAGAGTAGTTTCTGGCAGGGCGCGCAGTACCTTTAGGACAAGATTGTCTTCTTCAAAAGGTCTTCCAAGGCGTTCTGCTTCATTTGCTAAAACTCTCACTCTGCCATGGAATTCAGTGATACTCTCCTTATCTTCCATTTTGAGATTTTCAAATTTTGTCATGAGAATTTGGTATTTTGCTGTCTTGACTCTCTCATCTCCTTCATGGGTTGTCTCAAGGATCTTCCAAGCCTTCTGGGCTTCAGTGCAATTTGCAATGAGTCTGTATTCAGAGCTGTCCACCGCTCCAAATAATGCATTTAAGGCTTTGTCATTGCATTCAGCAGCTGCAGCTTCCTCCTTTGAGTATTCCTCAAATGTTTTGGGAATTTTTGCATCTGATCCTTCAACTGTCTTTGTAGGAACCTGCCAGCCAGTTTCTACGCTTCTCCAGACTCTTCCACCTTGTGATTTCAAGAATGCCTTCATGCGCCCCTTCCAGAAATTGTAGTTTGGTCCTCTCAGCAGTGGTGGCCGTTGTACATTCGCTCCTTCTTCCATGTCTCCCATGTCTGATCTTTAAAGCTAGTATCTTAAGCTTTAATGGCTCTGATACCAATTGAAAGTTCCACTTTCCTCAGCGTATGACCTGTAGTAACCTAGGACAGAACAAGTTGCCACAGAGGTTGCTAAAGCACTTTCTAATATTAGTCTGTAAAACAAAGTGCTTCACCAACTGCTGAATAAACAAACTGCAAACGAAAAGCAAACAGCACACAACACACGAAATTGTTTACGCAGTTCGGAGCAATTTCTCCTACGTCTGCGAGGCCCACGTCAGTGTAACAGCCTTCCCACTAAATTAAATCAGAGTTTACACCCTCAATGACAACAGACTCGATCTGTGCATTGATCTAAACTCAACAACTTAATGGGATGCAATAAACTCGGTTTATGCAGAGATACCGAGACTGATACACTTGAACAACTTATCTGAGACGTGTTCCTGGCCTACGCTCCAGCTCTTCTTAGTTCAACTGTCTGGAACGCACGTTAATCTCTATGCAGAATATTATTCTGCATACCAGCCATCTGTGTTCTTCGATCTGCTTGGCTGATGAATTATTTAGGATTCTCTCTTAATATATCCTCTCTCTTGCTCTCTTAATTCACACCAAAACCAGGCAGTTCTCCCTTCTATTTATATTCGCAAGGTGAGATCAACCCTAGAAGAATCCTGATATATCTCTACCTCCAATTTTGTGCTTATCGGGTAGAGTCCTTGTTATGATTTCCTTCTGATACTGTACTTATCTTCTTCAGTTTCGTGAGCTCCAGTAGCCTTTTGTTGATAGAGTTCTTCTTCAGCTTGGTGAGCCGCAGTCTGTCTTTAATTGAAGAAGTCCAGAAGTTCAAGGATTGTGTGTGTGACGGACAGGATGCTACAGCTCTATAAAACACATAGCTAGAACAAACTGAGTACTAAAACGACTATACTGATTTTTGTCAAAAATAAAGCCAACACCTATGACAAAGAGGCTAAGACACACCCAAGGAACCAACAATTTATTCTGTATAATAATTCGACTTTATATCCATTATATCAGGTCTGGTGATGCGAATATTATTCGAGTATATATAGGAATTCTCATTTCTAGAAAGAACAAAATAAAAAGATGTTGGTGGGAGTTGCGCAGTCGGCAAAAACAGGAAGTACTAAGGGGATAGACCTGAGTTTGATTCCTGATAACTGCGCTGGGAGGTAATTATGTTAAGTATAGAACCTCCGCAAGTACTAAATGCAGCTTCTATTCTCTGTCATACATCTGTGATTTTACTGAGAAGACCGAAACGAAGGAGAGTGCATTGGACCACTTGATTGTTAATTATTTTGGGTCTGTTCAAAGTGGTCATGTTGCACATGCTAAATGCCAACCTTGCAGTTAATTAAATGCTACTCCGTATTTGTCATAAGCAGTGGGAATTCACTCGCATATCACACGGATATAAAACTGAATCAACCAAAAAAGATCTTTGCACAATTCAAACTTGGTGCGGCGTTGAAAAATCCTATCAATTCAATTCAGCCGGCGTTGACCTCCAATTAGATGGGGTGAGTATTATTCTGTCCTTATAAGCTAATCAAAATTGTTGATGACATATTTCAGTTGGTGACATATTTTTGTGTTCTTATAAGCAGTCTTATAAGCTGCTTATAAGTCAGAAAAAAATAAGTATGTCTTAGCTATTTATTTTTAAGCTAATTTTTTTATTTTTCCGTTTTGACTAGATATCTACATAACTATCTCTCACCAATTATTAATATTTTCAAATGAATTATCTATTATCATTTAATTCATTTTAATTCTATGAAAGAATATTTGACTTATAAGTAGCTAATAAGTTAAAAGTTGTTTATCATGAAAAAACACCCCCAAAAATTCACCCGACTTATTTTTGACTTTAAACATGTACTGGAAGTAATAGGTTTTTGTTAGAAAATAATATCAGGAAAGAAATTTGTATATTGTGTGGTTCTATTTAATACAAAGAGAAGACCGTACCCTTCGTCCATAAGAGAGGGTAATGCCATAAAAGCAAACTTCTATAACTTATATTCCTACAAAAATTCTAAAAGCTTCCATAACAAAAAAAACAAGTCAATTAAACCAAATCTTTGAAAGATTCAATTTCCTCCTTTCCTTTTGGCTTGTGCGTGTTGCCCAACAGTTTTGAATAAAGATTTTGTTGACTTAACCTGAAATGACTTGCTAAAAATGAGTCAAACTGAGCAAATTTAAATCCGACATGATCGGCCTAGAGACAGAAGAGTTTTTTTAAATCATGCACTTCAAAGTCTTTAGTTTTAAGAATAATGTAGAGTAATTAAAAAAGGTTATGTTTTACTTTTTATCCTATCACTCATTTTGGTGTACAAACTTATTTTTTAAACATGTTTTTAATAATATCGGATACTCCATCCATTCCATAAAGTCAGTCCCGTTTCGAAAAATTTGTGTCCCTTAAAGTCCGTCTCATTCCTATTAAAAATTCACTTTTACCTCTTACTTTTTCATACCATACCTATCACATCATACATTTTTCCTAAAAATCTACCCATCACATTCAACTTTTACCTATCACATCAAAGGTATTTTTGGAAAGTCAACACAATATTATCCTTTCTTATTTTACCATTTTAGTCAAACCGTCCCAATCTTTATGAGACAGAGGAAGTAGTTATCTTACATTTGTTTAAAAGTCATACATATTTTAATAATATTGTCAAATATATCTAGAAAGTAATTAAAAAGTCAAAATGTAATATTCTAAGAGGTTAGTATATGTATTTTGATATTTTATTACTCCGTATTATATTTAGTGCAAAACTCAAGTGTTAGAAAGAACCTAAGTATTCTATAAATTTCATAATCCATTTTGTCAATCCGAACCCGTTGACATTGGTCATGTAGTTCTGACACCGAATTTATCGGAAATCGGTGTAACCCGAACTTGACCTTATTCGACCGATTTTCCAACTCTGCCCCCAATTCTTTTCCAACTTCCAAACCCCATTGAATTCAACATCACGCATTCCTTTTCTAAAAAAAGAAATATGAGAAAAGTAAAATTTACAAACCTGGCCACCAATCAATCTATTAAAAAAGGTCAACTATTAAAAAAAAGTAAATTTATGCATAGGGTAAATTTAATAAGTATAATACTTTGCAAAATTTATTTTATACGGAGTATGATTTTAATATATCAAATTCCTATACTATTGATTTACCTGTAGTATATAGATATGAGTACACTTTCTGTCCCAAATTATATTAAAAATAAAATTAGAATTACAAAACAAAAGCCCGCATTTTTTAAAATCATTTGACTCTGTATTTAAATTTACTTACATATATTAAAAACTACAAAATTTCTAAAAAACAAGACGTGACAAGAATATTTTATTTCATCAAGTAATCAATAAAATATACGCACAAATAAATAAAAGTTAGAGATGATAGAAAAACCGTAATCTATTATAGGACGAATGAAGTAACATAAGGGTTGAATATATTTTTAATTTGGTCCTTGTAAAATAGGCGGCTTTTATTGTTGGTCTTTATAAAATATATTTCTCCCGTTTCTGAAAACATTTCTCCTTTTTTTCATACGTTCCAAAAACTATTCTCATTTCTATTAAAAAATTATTTTTACCTATAGAAATTCGTAACCTACCTATCACATCTATTCACTATTAATCTACTCTTTAAATCTTATTTTTACCAATCACGTCCATAGATATTTTTGAAAACTCAACACCAAAAATACACTCCCTTTAAATTCCTTCAGAATCAAAATCTCTCATGTTTTAGAAATGGAGGGGGTATTTTTTTTAAGGGAAATTTATCTAAATAGGACTAAAACATAATGACTTTCTCAATATAGGCTCATATGTTTTTGTTTCCCACGTAGAACTATTGATCATTATCCATTAGTCATTATTCAAGTAAATATCCACCATCAGTGATATTATTCCTCCCACTAGACATTATTAAGTACTCCCTCCGTCCTAAAATTAATTTCCCAGTTTGACTTTTGCAGTCAAACTTTTTAAACTTTGACTGTATATTACGGAAAAAATATATTGAATTTTCAAATAAATTTATTATCAATAGATTCATTTTGAAACATAGTTTTGAAATATGTTATTTTTGTTATATATATTTATATAAAAATGGAGATATTAATGGTCAAAGTGTCGCATTGGAGACCGTGAAAAGTCAAATGGGAAGTTAATTTTAGGACGGAGGGAGTACTATTTAGGGAATAAAAAAGTTTAAGTCCTACCTTAAGAAATGATTTATGTTTTAGTCTTATTTACTGCAAATTACACTTTTTTAAGCAAATTTTTTTATTTTTACAGTGGTCCTTAAGTTGTATCCTTATTCATATTACATCTCCAATTCTCAAATATTTTATGAATATAGTATAATAAAATTTGGAAATCGAGCATGTAATTTGATGAAGAAGATGATCTACGACATGAGAATTGTGTCGGAGTTAATTAGAATTGTAAGGTTAATATGTTGAGTACAAAATAAATGTATTATCTCAATAAATTAAAAGTGTAAATTATGTTTAAAAATCAATAACAACAACAACATCCCAGTTGAATCCCACTACAGTAGGGTCTGGGAAGGGTGTGTGTACGCAGACCTTGCCCCTACTCGGAAGTAGGGAGGCTGTTTTCAAGAGACCCCCGGGTCACTTGCACAAAAATATGGAAGGGAATACAGTATAACACGGGTAAAGAGCCAAGTACAAGCAATAGCAAAAGATTCCAAACAAACACAACATACTACAAACAACCTCTACAGCACCGAGCTCCTATCCAGTTACTCAAATCCTAGTTCTCCAAAGGTTCCTATCTAAGGCCATATCCTCAGTCAAGGTGAGAAGTCCTAAATCCTGCCTAATCACCTCCCTCCAATTCTTCCTAAGTCTACCCCTTCCCCTACTTCCCCCGATAACCGTAATCCTCTCGCATCTCCGTACAGGGGCGTCAGCATCCCGCCGTCTCACATGACCAAACCATCTCAACCTCGCTTCCTGCAACTTATCTTCCACCGGCGCCATACCTACCTGACGTCGGATTACTTCGTTCGAAATCCTATCCAACCTTGTCTTCCCACACATGCACCGTAACATCCGCATCTCCGCCACATGCAGACGACGCACATGAGTCTTCTAAACTGCCCCACACTCTGCCCCATATAACATAGCAGGTCTGACTACGGATCGATAGAACTTACCTTTCATCCTGGGCGAAATCTTCGGATCACACAACACCCCTGAAGCTAACCGCCATTTGGCCCAAGCCACTCCAACACGATGTCCAACATCCCCATCTAACTCCCCATCAGCCTGGATTACCGAGCCAAGATAACGAAACCTGTCTACCTTAGGTACTAGGTGAGAGTCTGATATGTATGGTGATTAGGATATTTAATTAATTATTAGTATTTATTATTTAATATTATTTAATTAATAGGGTTTAGGGTTTAGTATGGGCTCGAGCCCATTAGGTCAATTAGCGTATCGTATTACTCTCTATATATTGTAATCCTTCCCCGTTATTATGCAATCAATCAATAATCAAGAATTCTCCTAATCTCTCATTTCTCTTTTCTTGGAGCTCGGAAACGCTCGAAGTTTTCATTCTCTCTTTGCCTCCCCTTTCTTGGAGCCCGAAGACGCTCGAAGTTCTTCCCTATCCCGATACGAATCGTACAAGATTCGTATCAATTGGTGCTTTCATTGAGAGAAATAGTTGATACGAATATCGTATCGGATAGGGAAGAACTTCGAGCGTCTTCGGACTCCAAGAAAGGGGAGGCAAAGAGAGATGGAAAACTTCGAGCGTTTCCGGGCTCCAAGAAAAGAGAGACGAGAGATTAAGAGAATTCTTGATTATTGATTGATTGCATAATAACGGGGAAGGATTACAATATATAGAGAGTAATACGATACGCTAATTGACCTAATGGGCTCGGGCCCATACTAAACCCTAAACCCTATTAATTAAATAATATTAAATAATAAATACTAATAATTAATTAAATATCCTAATCACCATACATATCAGAGTCAATCCTAACTTCCACTTCTGGTTCTGTTTCCCGGCCGCTGAAACGACATTCCATAGTTCCAACTTATTGTTTAAAAATGATTTCCAAAATAAAATTCTACGTACTTTGCAAGGAAGACTTAACAAAAAGATTACAATAACCAAAAACAAAAATCTAACTATTTTACGGGATTAAAAGTATATATTTAACCTAAGCTTAACATTAATAAGAGTTCGTAACAAATCAACCCAATTTGCACGTTAATAATGAATCAGAGAAAAAAACCCTTTCACAGCACATTGCATGCATTTAATTAGCACACATGATGGATGATTAGTTATTCGCATGGTCGTCTACTATTGGCTTAATTAAATGCATAATGTTAGTGTAACCCAAAATTTGGGATTACCCAAAACTCGTACTTTTACACAAATACACACAAATCATTTGTGTCTATGCGACATAATAGTGAATAGCTGATTGTATAGTTTGTGTAAAACTTGGGATCGTGATAACCCCAAAAGATTGGAGTTATCCCACAACGATCCTAATTATACAACAACTTGCTGCAAAAGCGAATATGTCATTTGTTATTATTATCTTGGTCTCTGAGTATTCGTTTAGTTTTAATTTTTTTACAGTGTCACCATTTGATTCAAAAATAAATAAAAATTTGATGGTATATTAAATAAAGAAATAAATATTTTATAATCTAATAACTTTTTGTATCAATATTAAATATTAAATTTATTTAATTAATGATCAAAATTTATTAATTTTGACAATAAAAAATCAACACTAGAAAAATACTCAAAGATGAAAGTAGTATAACTGACTTGGTTAATGAGAAATGGGTGATTATTAATTAATTCATTAATTGGTGGATTCATGGGCCACCATGCTAAGATCCTATGTATTATGCCAACCATTGACTAATAGTTACATGCATGTTAACGTACTAATTGATTAACATACTCATATTAACTAATTAACTAATATTTTTTTGTTCCATATCTTTCTCCCTATTTGATTTTTCAAGGTTTCCAATGAAATACTTTGATCATTCTTTCAGAATAAATAACACGTATTTTAAAAATCATTATAAACAATTTGGGATAAATTTCGTGTCATGTTTATATGAATTTGTAATTAATTAGTATGTATATCTCCAAAACCTTGGCATGCTTATCATGTTGTATTTGTTTTGTCATGATCTGATCTAAGTATGTATGAGTTGTCACTTGTATAGCATATTGCCTATATACTCCGTATATTAATGTCTAGACTTTGATCATAATATCTCAATTTATATATATATATATATATATATATATATATATATATATATATAAAATGTGAGTTTAGCTATAAAAAAGAGAGCTACCCGTCCGTGATTTGGGTTGAGTTGGCTAAAGATTGATATCGCTTTGTGAGCTAGCTATAAGAGATTGAGATATGCTAGACCCGCTTGTTCAAATGCCAACTAGGTGAGACTAATTAGCACTTGAGGAGGAGTATTGGAGTTTCCATATTAAAAAATAAAGATGAATACCACTAGCATATATAGAAGGGTGAAAATCTATCTATGCGCTTAAGTTTTTGGGTTAGAATAGTAAATCCCGATTTTATGCGCAAGTGATTAATTTTACCATTGTTCAAACTAAATATCTACTATCAGTGGACATTGTCCCCACATTTGACATTATTCAAGTAATGTCATCAATATATGATGCCAACATGATTAACGATACTAATAAGCCAGTGTATTTGATTGGTCTCTTAATTTTTGTTAGGTAGTTAGTTCCTTAGTTGTGATTGTCTAGTAATTAAATATTCCGTATATAGCATATGCCTAATTATATTGAATTGCCTAATAATAATATAAAAAATTAAATACTCGTACAATAATTAATCTAAATGAAACCCCGGCCAGAAAAACAAATTAAAACACGAAGTTTGGTGACTTGTCATCTGAGTGTCTCTTGTTCTATGCTGGCTACTATACAGCTCAATATGCATTTTAATTTTGACACTAGCTACAAACACACACAAACAAAAACTAATAATTTATAATAAAAAAACAAACAAACTCATGAGTATATAATATCAACTACTATACTTTGTGGCTTGGAGCTATGATGGGATGTAAGAGATTGAGATTTTATAACAATTTAAAAATAAAATTATTTTAAAAGAGATGAGATTTTGGACGTTCTTTCAAATGGAAAATATAAATTGAGAAGCCGAAGGAGGTTGTATTTTTCAAGGGTTTTCACATTTATTTTTTTCATAAACAAGTTATGAATATATATATATATATATATATATATATATATATATATATATATATATATATATATATATACACACATACATACATACTTGTACTAGGATTAGTTACTTGGACCGGAGGCTTCGGTGTTCCTTGGTTCCTTCGCTGTGCCACATCATCTCATTCACTCATTTGCCTCGCGAGGCTTCGGTGTTCCTTGGTTCCTCCAAGCCAAGCGTGTTAGGCGCGAGTCATTTTTCTAGTTTTTTTGTAGAAGAAAGATTTTTTTTAAAAAAAGCACCTCTATTTAATTTTTTTTAAAAAAAAGAAGATGAATGATATAATCTTTAATAATTAAATACATTAAAAAATTATAAAAAGTGACAAAAACAATTACTTGTTACTGCATAGCATGTCACCCCACTCGTCACATGCTGATTAAATTCTTTTTTATTAGATAAAATATGTTTTACCAACGTGTGTCATTCGAGTTCTTTACTTGTCATTGACCGTGCTCTAAAAGTGTAAGGTGATATTATTGGATTGCGATGTCTTAATAACAGTTAACAGAAAACTACCCATATATTGGCCTGGCCTAAAATGACAATAATCTCTCAAATCAAAGATGCCATCATTGGGGGGCAATGACCATTGCGATTAAAGAGTTGCCTACCAGGCACCTAACAATGGCGAAGACATATGGCCCACAATTATTTTGCCATGGACTAATGTCTACATGATCGACTACATGATCTTGGTGTTTTAGAGCCTTTCTTGTGGTTTGTTTGGATGAGTAGAGAAAATGAGAAAAAAATGAGAAGAAAAATGGAAGGAAAGAACACTACAAAAAAAGGGGGCAATACCGACAGGGGTCAATATGTCGCTAAAGGTTGAATATCTGTCGCTACTCGCTTTTACCGACAGATAATTGTCTGTCGCTACGCTGTCGCTATAAACTCCGTCAGTAAAAGTATTACCGACAGATAAAATTTACTGTCACTAAAATAGTGTAATAGCGACAGACCAAAGATGTCGCTAAAAAAGAGAGGAGTACCGACAAAATATATATGTCGCTAAAACATGGATTACCGACAAAAAATAGTGTGAGTAAATCATTCTTTTCTGTCGGTAATACCTTGTTTTTACCAACTTTAACATTTATTATAATTGTCGCTAAAAGTTGGATTACACACAAAAAATTGTGTGAATAAAACATTTTTTTGTGTCGGTAATACTTTATTTTGACCAATATTAACATTTATTATAACTGTTACTACTACCATATTTCACACCAACATGCTCTATTTAAGTGATATCAAAGAATTTTATTGACAAATAAAAAATAATAATCATACTTGTATTAACAACAATACATAATACGATAACATTTCAAAGAGTTACAACTAACCCATTTACTAGAAAGTAAACCAATATCTCAAAATTAGTTCATCATTTGCGCTAAAGTATAAACAGTCAAAGTGAACTAAATTAAAATACGCATTGATATGGAAAATATTGTCCAAAGCTTTAATGCTCGTCACTGTCTACATCTTCAAGTTCATTGCTCTCAGCTTCATCATCTTTGTTCCATCGATCCTCATCATGACTTTTCTTAGTGGTTGTATTACCGTCAATTGTAAGGCCATCGATTTTAGATTGATTAGCCATTGAACCCTATGCAAAAAAAAGTATAAGCACGTGATAACGTAATTACAAATTTTGCACCAAATTCACCTTACACTCATGCTAGGTGGCATAACTTTAAACTATATAATGAACTAAACAAAAATCAAATGAAATATGGGTAGTTAACAATGATAAATAGACACTAACCAGCGTATTTAAAAGCAATGATACTACATATTCTAAATTTTGGAGTCTCTCTTTTGTTTCTTCATGCTCTTAGTTACACACATCTGAGGCCAAACCTTATCAGACCATGACTACGAATCTGTCAAATTAATACTTTGAACATATTTTACAAGCATAGAAGATAAACACAAAAGAATGCTTGTATAGAGTACCTCACAGAAATACTACCTCAGTATACGGAGTACACAGAAGAATACTTCATATTGATTGTACAAATCTATCAAGTCTCCAATAGTCCAACCAAAGATTCAACACAGAAGATAAACAAAGAAGAATATAACTCAAAGAAGAAAAAATCTCATTTCTTCCAATTTTCAAACAAAGAAGATAAAAAACTTAAACATAGAGCAAAGCATAGATGGTAATTTAATCTCTAGTAAAATGCAAAAGGAGACTATAAAGAACTAACCTGATGTAACTTGATGAGCGAAATAGTGGAAGGATGGGCGAAGAGCCAGTATGGATCGGAACTCATCACAGCTACCTTCGTTAGTATTCTTCTCATCCATAAGTTTCAAATCTCTTAACCTTCTATTGTGTTTCTAGATGGCTATCTACAATTGAGCTTCCTGCTCTAAGATTCATCTCAGTGTAGCTTTCTTTGACTTATGAAACATTCTTGGTCATATAAAAGAACAAATGGGACAAAGAAAATACATTAACATCTTCCACAGGTCCAGAAAGACTTGAAACAAAAGATGAGATCAAATGAACATGCAAAGCTAGCGCATGGTATAATAATTTCATAATCAATTGATTACCTATAGTAGTTAGAAAAACCATCTTCACTAATTGTGCTATCAGTAGGAAATGTCAAGTAAATCTGGCAAGAGCTCATATTCGAGTGCCCATCAGAATGGCCTCCAGAAAGACCAATTCCCATATGTGTCAAACTGCAATTCAGCAAATAAATAAAGGTGACACCAGTTCAGACTTTGTAAAGTTCACTAATTGCAATGAAATGAACCCAAAATATCTCCTTTGGTTCATTTTTGGAATTAAGACAGTAGATTGTTCCTCAATTATCTCTTTTGACCAATTTGCAACAAAGCGGCAGAATTAATTTCTTCTAACATAACTATCTATAAATTCATAATTAACACAAATCAGTCTAATATGAAGCCTACTTTGAAACCAATGAACAGAATTGAAATTTCCCAAATTCACAAACAGGTCCACAACACATAAATCCATAAGTATATATGATATACCTAGTAGACCAGCATTCTCGGAGGGTCGTCAGAGCGCTGATGGCATTCACGAAAACTGTCACTGCTTCCCGGACTCTGTCAGAGTCAATAGAATATGCAGCTACCGCCTTGGACCTGTTTTCCATAGATCGGACGTAGCTGGAACTCAACAAGGTTGCTGGTGCTCGGGTCATGCCTCGGAATCTATTGTCAAGATCTGTTGTCGCCGCAGCTCACTTCTTCCGTCGGTGCACATGGACGCCGTCGCCGTCTCAAAGGAAAAGAAGGGTCTCCGATGTCGTTGGTCGCGCGATCGTGGCTGGAACCGTCGCTGGTCACATGGATCGAATAAGAAGAGGAATCAGCACCACAAAGTTTAATTAATCCCTTAATAGCAGTATCACTACCAAAGACAACAATCCCTACATTCTCATTCTCAAGATTCAAGGCTATTCCTTTCACACCGCTGGCAAATTCCACCATTTCCCCAGCTTGAATCTCGTTCAATCCATAAACACGTGCAATCCCATCTCCAACTGAGACCACTCGACCGATCTCATCCACTTGAAAATTCGTGTAAAAGTTGCATGAATTTGAAGTTTATTTGGGCCCAATTTGGGTCTCTAAATTTAACTTTTTTGTAATTTGTCAATCTTTCTCACTTTTTCAGTTTCATTTTTTCAAATATATACTCCTTAATTGTTTTATTCCCTTAAAAAATATACTTGGAATCATCTCATTTATACTTATCGCACAAGAGTGTTTCTATGGTGGGCCTATAGTTCACATGGATCTTCTCACATATTTTTTTCAATTTTAGAAATGTTTATTTCAACACTTAAAAATGATTAGTTAGCATTTATGAAGTCCACAAGCCTAGCAGGAAATTGAAGCATTTTGGATTGCCACACTCTTTGGACCATAACTTTGGCTATTGGGTGTCTGATTTTAGTAGTCTACCCCTTTCCGGAAACGTCTTGGCGAGACGCCCAGGGGCCTGATTGGTCAAAGACCATCGGGATCCATCTTCAACCCAAAATCTTGCTTTTTAGATCGTTAATTTTGCAGTTTTGTCTTTTTGGGGTCTTTTTCCTACTCGTTTACACTTTTTTAGCTATGAATACCCTGTTTGTGAGCATTTTTATGCAGACTTGATATGGCAGTTGTTTCGATTTTTGGTTTCCGGTTTCACGCTTAATCCCCTGATTTTTGGTTTACGATTTGCGGTTGATTGACAAATCTTTTAACCGCATTGGAAATGGTTAAGAATCTCTACCTTATTATTTTACATCAATAATGTGAATAATTATACATATCTCCACTAGCGTTTTCATCCTTCTCGATTTTAATTTGTTGATTTGTTCTTTTATCATATGTCTTGATTTTATTCGGTCAGTTTAGTCCTTTAATTTAACTTATAACTTAAAAATCTAAAATTAAAAATTATAATTTTTAATCTGTAAATATTCAATGTAAAAAAAATATTTTTAATCTTTAATTTTTAATTTTTTATCTTTTAAATTTATAATTCATTTCCAATATCATATATTTTTGTCCGACCAAATAAAAATATTCAAATTGAGGTCTTTCATTCCCAATTTCATGACCTCAATTTCGTGTATTAAATGATGCCTAATTTTATGGTTTTTTATAATTAAGATATTTAAATTAAATGTCAATAAAATCAATACCGACAGATAAAACATTGTTGCTAAAGCTATAAACAATACCGACAGATAAATGTTTGTTGCTAATACTATAAACAGTATCGACAGATACATTTTTTGTTGCTAATACTATAAACAATACTGACAGATAAAATTTTGTCGCTAAAACTATAAGCAATACTGACAGATAAAAGTATGTTGCTAAAACTACAACCAATAGCGACAGATATTACTCTTTCTGTGGGTCAAATAGTTTTTACCTTCAAATAATTTTATCTGTCGGTAATATTCTCTTTTTAGCGACAAAAAAGGTTTCTGTCCCTAAGGATCTGTCGCTACTACCCCTTTTTTGTAGTGGAAATGGAGAGAAAATGAAGTGAAAAAAATAATGTTCGGAATGATAAGAAAATGGTAAGAAAATAGTGTGAAAAGGAAAAAAAAGCGGAAGAAAATGAAATGAAGGGGGCAAGGAGCTTCGTGTTGGTTAATTCCAGTCTAGAATTTAGTTTAAATTTAAAAAAAATAAATAAGAAAAAAAGGCAGGCAATTAGACAGTTCTTATGACAGTTTCCAACATATGTGGTGGTTAGTAACTGTTATTGTTGTTATAATTATTATTATTGTTATTGTTATTATTATCAAATTTATAATCGTTCTTATCCTAATCAATGTCTATAAGAGTGAAAAAAGTAACGTCATAATTAATACGAAAAACATTTTCTACTTTTGCAAAATAAATTTTAATTAGTACTTCGTATTATAAAGTTAGCATAAATATCAAAATTTTAAGTTTTAAAAAGTTATTCAGTGGTTACACTTCAATTTATTTATGTAGTACTATTTATAAAATAATGCATTTGTATTTATACTTTATATGTTACGTGATTTTGTTTTAAATATCAAACTGTCACATGATGTGGTTGGATATATTTTTTATTTCCTTTTCATACGTAATAGAATTACTTTCTTCTAATATTATTAAATTTGGTTAAATAATTAAGTAACTTATTCTGTATCAAGATTTACTTACTGACAAAAAAATTAATATGTATATGTCGAATGTACAATAATATTGCAATTTTAAGTGCGCAAGATTTGAAAACTTATCAATAAAACGAGAAAAATAAATTGGCACACAAGAAGAAAATAATTTATTCATATCACCTACTTCGTTGTATTATGTAGTTTTTTTTTGTTATTTCCAAATATATAAATTCAAGTTTTAGATTTCTCATGAAAATTAACTTAGATTTAATTGAATTTAAGTTCAGTAAAACAATGCAAATTGAAATGTAATTTTTAAAGAACGCTAAGAGTGTTTGAGTTTTATATGGAATAAAATATTTTGTACGCCTCCGTTCTATAATATTTGTTTAAATTTGAATTTTCATTGTCAACCATGTTCGATCTTTAACCTATAATTAAATAAGAATTACATGGTATATTAATTAGATAAAATAGTATTTTGAAAATATTTTATAATATAAATCTTATAAAATTATTCTTGTATCAATATCTAATATAAGTTTAATTTAATTAATGGTTAAAGTTTATAAATTTTAACTGTAAAATGTCTCATTACTATTATTATTAATCAAATTAAAGTACATCATTTTTAGAGTTATTGTTTGAGGAGAAGAAAAAGTTTTAAGAATAGTTGGAAAAACTAAAAGGAAATGAAAGAAATTGAAAAACTGAAAGGAATTGGAAAAAATAGAATAAAAATTTTAAAAAATTAGGAAAAAACTAAAGTTTTAAAACCAAAAGAACGTACTCAAAGAGTAGAGATAATTTCTTTAACTATAAATTATTAATTTTCTTCAAAAGTGAACTCTAAATATTTTGTCAGTAGCATAAATAGACAAGATCCTCGAGTCTTGGTATCATATAAAATTGTAAGATTCTATCTTAAATCTAAATGACAATTTGGCAAGAGCATTCATATTTTTATACATTTATCTTTTTAGTTTGTGTTCAATCTAAGACTTCATATCTTAAACAATAACATACGTGACTAATGTCAAAATTCTGAATAATTTTTAATGGTTCAAAGTAATTCTAAAAATATTTCATCCAAAAAAAGTAACTTTAAGATGTAAGTAAAGTATGATATGTTTTTTTATTAAAAATTGTAATTTCATTAATAATGCAGTTTATTAACATTTGTGTAAATCTTTTTTTGTAAAGCAATAAAAGGGAATAATGGTAAACACTCTTACAAAATACTCCCTCCGTCCCAAATTATTTGTCACATTTCTATTACCGAGGCAAAATATCAAGTTTTTTCAATTCATTTTATTTACATATTGGTAAAGAAATAAAAAATAAAATTTACATATCAAAAAACTACATGAAAAGTTCTTCGAAATAAGAGGTGTCAAGAATATTTTATTTTATCAAATAACCAATGAAAACGTAGAAATAAACAAAAGTTCCCGCGACTGTTGAAAAAGCAAATGTGGCAAATAAATTGGGTCAGAGGGAGTAATTAAATTTATTTTTAAAATAAAACTTATATGACCTTTTTTTTTAAAAAAAGTAACTATGTAGATGAAAATTGATGAAATATAAGTTTGTGTAATACCTAGAAAATAGAAGGTTTTATACAAAATCAATGGTCATTCAATCTATTCAATCTAATTATGATGAAAGCTATTTAAATTAATTAAAAATAAAAATAAGCGGCCAGAGCTTTAAAATTTTAATTTAAATATTTTTCAAAAAAAAATTAATAAAATGAAATAAGTTATGGATAATTTTAAACAACTCAAATAATCTTTCACTTCTCGAACTTCAAAGAATTGACACAAACAATTTATATTCCCTCCGTCGTAAAACTATCTTCCCGTTTGTGTTTACGAGGTTTGACCGACTTTATTTTTAATTCAATTTATTTGATTATAGGTGTAAAATTAAAAAATAAAATTTATATATTTAAAAACTACATCAAAAGTTCTACAAAACAAGAGGTGACAAGACTATATTATTTTATCAAATAACTAACGAAAATAGGTAAAGAAAGTGATTTAAGTTTGACCGTGTAAATAATAACTGGGAAGATAGTTTTAGAACGGGAGAGTATTACCAAAGAGTTTTTCTTAAACTACCGTAATTAGGCGAATTCATTGGCGTGTGCCAAAGAGGCCTTAAAAACAATCTTAATTCTGATGTTTGGTAGCAAAAAAATATGTGAATTTGGAGTTAATAGTGCCAAAAATGAATTGAATTGGAGAATTCGATTCCATCCAAACCAATCTCATAGAATTTCAACTCCTATTTCAATTTCAATTCAAGCAATTCTGTGTACCAAACAAACCTTGAGTATCCAATACATGTATAATCATTGTATAGTAAAAAATACGGAGTAATACTTTCCCTCATATAAATTGTATACTAAAATAAACTTAAACACTCATTAACTACAAAAGATTTGCTCGCTAATTTACAGTGAATGTAGAATATTACCGTAACTATGATTGTACAATACAGTCCGTATCTGTTAAGAAATGAAAGAAGATACTCATAGCTTATTTAGTAGCGGGATAATGTTTGTGAGTTCTATTAACCTTGATTGTCACTGGTGTGATTTACAGGGATCCTAAGTCCCTATTTATAGTGAACGTATTAACCTACATTCTAGAATAATTAGCCTAACTAATTGAATTATGATAAAATTCACTAATTTCATAAGAATATCCATATTCTATATTACAAAACCATTGATACTTTCACTTTTTTTATTTGTCTGCTTTGCTACTGCAATCCCAAATCCCCAAATTTAGTGCACCATGCCTTGCCTTCTGTCTCTTCTAAACAAGTTCCAATTATTTTACAACACCTTTTCTTAAACTTCGCTAAAAATCAAACCGCAAAATTCATCTTGGGACAGAGAATATAAATCTCAATATACCAGTGTGTACATGTTTTTTCTTCTTTTTTGCGAATTTTGAGTTCAACCGAGATGATTTGACAAAGAAAATCATATTATCCAAGATAAGTATATGGTAGTCAACTTTAATTTGTTACATGTATCAGGACACAAGACAGTGTATGGACAAAGGAAGTCACAGGTTGCTTATTAAATGAGAACAAATGAACCTGGTCATATGTGAATGATGTATACTGTTGACCAAGCTGTTGTATGTAGCATAGCAAGCATCATCTCCAATGCTGCATTTATTCACACCCACATTCTGATTTTTGTTTTTTAAGGTAATAATAATATCATGTGACCGATATGCATAGGGGAAGTTAAGCTTTCTCCAGCAGTTTCTTTATGTCCTTCTGCACCAACACAAAGCAAGAGAGGTTTGTTGCACTTACCATTAGCAAAATTATCCCCATACTATTCGTTAAGACTTACGGGGTATTAGGGTATGTTTGGATGGGGGTTTTGGAGAGGCTTAAATAATAAATGCAGTGCTTTTAAAGGAAATCAAAAGGTGGTTAGAATTTTAGGCCAATCTTTCGTTTTCGATACAATCTAGAATAAATAGGAGTTTCGAAGATAAAAACCCTCCATCCAAACAGACCCTTGATGAACGTGGCTTCCTTTACCTCTATGCTTAACGGAGATGTGGTGGGCATATAGCGATCAACAACATTTCCCTTCTTGTCCACAAGGAATTTAGTGAAATTCCACTTGATCCCATCGAGACCAAAATATCCACCCTTTTTGTTTTTCAAGAACTTGTACAGTGGAGCAGCATTGTCACCATTAACGTCAACCTGATACACAAAATTATAGAAACCATATATGCACTCTGACATCAAGGAAATGACTCGCGAAATCCAAACAGGGAAAAAAAGAATCCAGCTAACAAACCTTTCCAAAAATGGGAAATTCGGCTTTGAACCGAGTACAAGCAATTTCCTTGATTTCTTCATTTGTGCCTGGCTCTTGGTTACCAAACTGGTTGCATGGAAATGCAAGAATCTCCAAACCTGTGGTTAGATGAAATAAATTGAATCTCAATAAAATTGGGAGAAATAAATGAATCCTTTACTACTAATATCATTGATAAATTTCTATCATAAAAAGTCAACGAATCAAAACATAGATAAAATCAGATTTAATTATCATTTTGCATATTTTCGAGCTAAACCAAACACAACAAAATTACTTCAGCAACTTCATTTACATTTCCCTGGCATTTTTTGGGATCCAACCATTCTCTTAGATAGTGAATATAAGAAAAATTCTTGACATAGCAAACTCAAAGACTTCTTTTTTCTTTGACTTCACTACTTTGGCAAATGAGATATCCAAAAGAGATTTAGATCAAACCTTCAATCTTGTATTTCTCATATAACTGGGTCAACCCATGGTAATTGGAGTTTGTCAGGCCACTGTATTGGACGTAGCAAAACATATCAGTTTAAATGCATTGGGGTAGCAAAACAGATTAGTTCAAATGAATCAAACTTTTTTTTTAGCAAAAAGGAGGCACATACTCTTAAAGTCTTAATTAAAGATTGACTACATACCATTGGGATGCAACATTGACAATCAACAGGACCTTTCCCTCATAAGCACTAAGATTAACATCATTTCCTTTAGCATCCTGTGACATATAATTAAAAACGTAACCATTTTAATTAATTGTCATATAAGAGGTATCACACATTTAAAAATGCAACCATTTTAATTAATCACATAAGAGGTAGAAAACAAAAGAAAAGACATTCCAGAATGGCGTCCAATTTTAATGCCCAAATGAGACCAATCATTATAATCCACTTATCCTAAAAAAATACATAGTATAGACATATGAGCAATAAGATTATCTGATGAAGGCTAAAACATTCAAAAATAAGTTAATTAATTAATTAATTATGGGAAAGGGGAGGAGACCGAGGAGCAAACTTCCCTGTCCAACTAATGGTCAGATTTGAACCGACTACTTTGACTATACAAAGGTAAAGATGATAAAAAAAAGATGGTTAAAAACCAGAAGAAATGCTGAAATTCAATTCTCCATTCAAAACCTAATAGAAAGTAGCAACATTTTGCATCACTTTGATAGTAAAAGGAAAAGGTAGGGGCATGGCTCAATTGATTGTAAGGGTAACAACGAGGCAACCATGCTTAGCATGGGGTCTTTGTAAGCTGAATACTCCACCATCTACCAATCACGTTGTGATTAAAACTCAATTTATCTCTTCCAACTAGAGCAGGACATGGGATATGTTACCCACCAAGCCCGAAGGCCCGTCAAACGTTTTTTGGGCTTGGACGGAAAATAAGGTCAAAATTTGGACTTTTGACAAAAAAGAGCATGTTTTGGGTCGGGCTTTGGGCATGCCTCTCAATGCCTTGTTTTAGAAATACAAGGAAAACGTATAAAATTATACATCTGTCAAGATCCGAATAAACTTTACACTTTCCTTTTTGAGATGTATAAAAATCAACTCTACACTTCTCACTTTTTTTAAGATAAAAATATGTGGACAAGTTTATTTTTCTTTCTTCCAAATAAATTTTAAGTTTTTAACCACACACTTTTCACTATTCACTGAAAACATTTCACTTTTTTTCTATGTTACTATAACACAGGCGGGATTAGGGCGGGCTTGTTCACGAGCTTTTTTCAAATGCGAGCTTGGACTAAACAAGGCCCGCTTTATCGAGCGGGCATGAGCATAACAATGTATGTTACTCATTATTAGTGTAAAATCTGGCCTAAACTTGTTCAAATCCAGCCCATGTCCACCTTTCCAAGCTAAATTCTAAGGCTGGTTCAGGAGGCCTCATGGATGGGATGATTTTTTTTCTAAGGAGAAGATTGTTAGTCATGAACCTCTATAAATCTCAGTGATCTCCTATTGTATTCCTCCCTCCTAAAATGATGTGTCTAGTTTGAATTGACAGTTGACACCTTTTTAATACAACAACAACAACCCGGTTAGATCCCACAAGAGTAGGGTGTGTGTATGCAGCTTAACACCTTTTTAATAAAGTTAAGTAAAAACTGTGTAGTTGAAAGTGAACGGCGTATATATATAAACATGAATATCTTTTCATTTTAGAGCCTCTATACATTCACAACTCACCATCCTCCTATGTTGTGCTGGCCTTCTTACAAACTGAATAACTATATCTTAAAAGCATGCTACTTTACAAAAAAAAATCTTCTTTTTGGCATATTTAACCCTTATATCCCAAAAAAATGTGAGAAATAAATCAAGAAATTAAACACCAGAACAAAAGCCAGGTAGTTGTGATAAAGATGAAGAACTTAACTAACACGAGAAATGATACAAGCAAGTGGATTCATAGTACTTGGAATTCGCAGATGCTGTAAATCAGAACAGATTAAAAGACAGACCTTAACGGTGAAATCGTAGATTGACTGGGGGTTGCTGGATTCTGCAGCCATTGTAAGATCAAGAGATCTGAAATTAACACGAGGAAGCTAGATCGGTGGGGGCAGATTATCACGCAGAAATCGTTCTAGGGCTCGAAAGTTTGACTGAGATTGTACATATAGCGAAACCAAATGGGTTCGGCCTCCTTTGACCCGTTGAAAAATCTCCAGCGTTTCACACGAATTGACGGGGAACGATTTTCGGCCTTCTAGATTTCACCCTTTCAACGAAATCATATGGATTTTTGGGAAAATAAAAAAGGGAGATGCTACCAAATCATATGGATCATATGTACACCACTTATTTCTACACTATTTATTTTGTTTTGTTTTTTTTTTTTTGAATTTTACATACTTTTTTTTGTGGTTATGGAGTGGTCGGGATATTTGGTTGTGGATATTTTCCAAATAAAAAAATCAAAATGGCAATCTCTAACTTTAAAATTAAAAATCACATTAAGAGAATCTCCAACTCATATGGGAAAACATGATAATATAAATCTTAGTCTTCCGTCCATAAATAAACTTTCTGTTTACTATTGACAGAATTAAACTTTATTCACTTTGTTAGCCTATTTCGTTACTCATTTAATAAAATAATATAGTCATGGCGCATCTAATTTTTACATTATGAATAGTGTTTTTCATTATGAATAATGTTTTACATAAGAAGTTTATTTGTGGACGGAGGGAGTATTTTACATTATGAATAGTGTTTTACGTTTGCACTTTTTTATTATTTTACAACATTTACTATATTATACATATTTATAATATTTTATAGTTTTAAAATCTTCAAATTAATTTATAATTTATAATATTTTGATGGCCGGATTAGTGGAGTCTGAAGATGATGATGGGGCCGGGGCTAATCTGCTGCGGCTAGAAGAAGATGAGATGTGCTTTTCCACTTCTTATAGAGTTGTAGGACCTGCTGTATTTACAAGCTAGGAATGAGATTGGAAATGAGCTGTTGGCGATTGACTGATAGTTGTTCGTGTTGGCTGGTTTGAACGGCTGGTTGAGTTAGCTGTTTTGACCAATCGATTATGTTGGTTGTGGATAAAAAATGTTTGGCAATCTTAGATTCTTCAAAATAGCTTTTATAAATTGAATTTGATTTAATAAAATTTTCACCTATATAATTATATGGTATAACATGCATTGTAATATACATTCTTTCTTTCCTCAAATAAAATTTTAAGCTATATATAGTTCTAAAGTCATTATGGTTTTATTTATTTATGTATTTTTATCAATCAATTGATAGAATAATATAATTATACGTCGTATCATATTTTGTTTCAAAAAACTTTTGATGTAGTTTCTTAAATTTATAATTTGTTTAATTCTACACCAAAATCTCAAAAAAAAGAAAATCAGAATTTTTTTCTTCTCACCAATCGCTTCATGAAATTTACATGGGGAAGGGCTATATAAAATTTACTTCTTTTTATATATATATATATATATATATATATATATATATATATATCATATTATTTACTTATTTATTTTCTTAGTATTTTATTTAGTTATTTATTTATTGATTTTTAATTATATATTTATTTGAATACCAATTTTTTATTTAATTACACAATAAATAATAATTTTTTATTTATTCATAAAAATTACATACAATAACAAATAATAAAAAAAATCAATTTTCCAACAGCCAAACCGAAATGCTACTCCTCGTAGTTTTTTAAATTTTGACTTTTCGGGCTCAAACAGCAAACTATTGCAGCCAACTATCAAACACCTTTTTTGACGGGTTAACCAGTAAAATCTACTAAAGTGGGTCAAAATAGCCAAAAGCCCAACCCAAATGCCAAAAACCGAACATGCCATATATAAAGCTTTATGGCAGTTTGTGTAGAAGTGACACGTGTTTTACACTTTCACCGGCCATACCATTTGTGTTTTATCTATCTTCGCACACTTTACTGTGCTCCATAGCCAATTGACCCAGAGATAGAGTTTTGCTTTAATCTCCCAACCACTTCGTCCCAGAATCTCGAACTTGCAGAAACATGGTCGCCGGTAAATCTCAGGAGCCTCTTCCTCCGGGATGGATCGAGCACGAGAAAGTGAAAAACGGCCGGACAACGAAGGTAAACTGACCCCATTTTAGTTCATTTCCTTCGTTTACTTAGGTAAAGAAATAGCCAAAAAGTTTCAATCTTTACGAGTATTTCAGTATAAAATTGCAATTAAGACGGCCCTCTTACTGGATTTAGTCCTCTTATGGTAGATCTGCCTGTTAATTATGACATTCCTTGTACGAAGTCACTCTTGATCTGGTTATGAGTTGAGAGTTAATTCAACACAGTTAATCAACCTGCCGATTTGGTATGTTTAGGGTTGGATAAGCTTTGATTCGCAGTTGACTGTGATGGTTTCGTGTGCATTTAAGTTTAAAACTTTCTGATTTAGTGAACTGGCGTACCATAGGTGTTGGACTTACAGACTAGCTCGTAGACGGGATTAATCAAGGCTTGTGTCGTCTTAGGAGGGATCAGTCATGGCCCAAGGGAGGCCTAATGCCTGAGCCTAGGAGGGATCGTCTTAGTTGCCCTATGCGAAGCTGGGCAGAGATTTGTAGAACAATGTTAGTGATTCATGTGTGCTCCTAGAGAAGATGCATGTTTATTTATTTTTACTGATGGGGGGAAGCAATTGGAGTCTGTTGTCTTTCACGTAGGTGTTTTAAGAAATATAATTATTTCTTTTAAGCTGAAGGAATGGTTTCTCACGTTTCAGCTATAAAACAAGGCCCTTTGTGCAATATATGCTTCAATAGTTCAATTTACTCCATACCTAGGTTGCCTGTTTAGTATTCGTGAGATATATGGGGTTATATGTTGTTGAAACATTTGACTTCTTGCTGTGGAAGTTACATTGAGTACACCTTGCATATGTTACTTGGTTGGGGGATTTGGGGGGGGGGGTTGGTTTTTGTTTTACTAATGTATCTCTATTTGTTAGTTGTAGTCTTGTTCGGAGTATATTACTAATCAACTACTTCATTCATGTTTTATTTTATCACATATTTATAAATAGGGTGTTGATATATCCACTCCTATTATGGCTAAATCCACTCCATTGATCTAAAATAGACAAATTTGTCCTTAAAAGTTGGCTAACATCTTATATTCTTTTGTGTTTTAAGGACAAAATTGTCCATTTACCCATAAAGTGGATGTAGCCATAATAGAGGTGGATACAGCAACACTCTTATAAATATCTATAAGAATAATTACGGAGTAATAAAATACTCCGTAAATATTACCCCTCTCCACAACTCCCCAACTAAACAAGGTCTAAATGATATGGATTGGGGAAAGATGTAATGTGAATGTTTATTTGATTAAATAACTTGTTTGAAAAAAGCATGCTGAACTTATCATTCTTTTTGGGCCTTGTAGTACTACACAAATTCAGATAGTGGGAAAAAGTTTTATTCCAAGAAGGCTGTGCTAGACTATACAAAGGCAAGAGATGCTTTCCATGATCAAATTCAGGGAGTCAATAATAATGAGAGTGGAAACCAAGAAGTTGGTAATGATGATGGTCAACATCAAGGAATCAGCAATGGTGATGGTCAACATCAAGGTATCAGTAACGACGATGGTCAGAATCAAGGAATCAATGAGGATGAGAATGCTACACCAAGTTTAAAGGTCTAGCTTCTCTTTGTTTTCTTTGATTCTTTTCCTAATCTCTCTTCTAACTGGTTTTGTTATTTGCTGCCCATAGCCTACACCAAAATCAGATAAATCTCTTGAGGTACCTCCTGGATGGACAGTTGAATTGAAAACTCGAATGGGTAGCTCACATAATGGTGGGACTTACAAGGTATGGAAACCAAAAGAGCCTCATTTACTTCACATGCTTACAAGTTACAACATGGTTCTTTAAGGGTACATTTGGATCTTGGAAAATACGAGTGCCCGGGAAAGGAAAAAACGTGTGGAGAGAAGTCATTTTCTTTCTTCCCAATATTTTCCTTCCTATTTTACGTATTTTCCAGGTTCCAAATGGACCCTAATAGAGTTTTGTATTTCATTGTACTCTTAGAGCACTCACGGTAGTGAGGGAAAAAATTCCTCACCAATCTCTCTCTACACTTTCCCTTTCATCCATATCATTTTTTGCGTGTGTTTTTTTGAATCCCATCAGTTGGGATTTATTTTCTCTCAACCCCACTAGCCCACACACACACACACTCTCTCTCTCCTAATTATTGTGTGAAAAAAAGCCTCACTTGCTGAAACAGTTTTTTAACATATGGAAAAGAGGAGAGCACACCACTGGGAACGTAAAAAAAAGTGCACGTAAGGATTTTCCCCACTACTGGGGTTGCTCTTAGCCTTTTCATTTTGTACTTCAAAATAGCTTTAAGTAACTATAGTAAGTTATGAATACCTTTTGTTTACTTTAATTACTATGGAATTTTATTTTCCTAATTTTTTCTATTTAACAATGTTTTTCAGTGTTACATCAGTCCCTCAGGAAGAAAATTTTATTCCAAAGTTAAAGTCTCTCAGTATCTTAACAGTACTGGAAACAGCAACAACTCCATTGACCATGGAAAAAAAGTAAGAATTCATTTGTCATAACATGTACTATATCATATAGTAGTATGTGTCTTTGAGTTACACTTTTGTACCAGTTGACTTGTGTCATCTTATGCTTACTGTCATCATCATAATCCTGCATCTTAATTCTTAAATTCTTAAAACTAACAATATTGGGGTGGGCCATTGCTATTGTGCCCAATTAAAATAAGGGCCTATGTTCATACAATACATTTTGGGTCAAGTCCACTCATAATTCTGTTCGCATTACACACACTACTGAGTAATGAATAAAGATTAGACCTTTTATGTATCCCATTATCATTACAACTTAGAATTTCAAATTTCAAATTTTTAGATAATTAATGAGAGCATCCTAACATAGGGATTGGCAAGATAGCTTTAGTGATTGCTTTGACTTAGTTGCCCATACTCCATACAATGCTTCCTTATTTTACCCTATGTTTCACAGTTTTTTCAATCTTAGAAAATCCTCCATTCATTTATCAAAAGTACATGAAACCAATGCTAGGTTTTTGTAAGATTCACTTTTTCTTGTTTAATGTCATCTAGAAATTCAAATTTCATGAATTGAGGTATTCTTAATAAAGCACAACTGTAATTGCTTTTATCTGTTTCCACATCTTAGGACAATATAGAGGGATCCATCTCTAACGTGCCAGTATCTCA